CCGAGCCGGGCCGGAGCGGCTGTCACCGCCCCCTCCCGCTCCCCCCGCCCCGGGGCGGGACCGTGCCCTCCCCCCGGCTCTGCAACCGCCCGGGAGCTTCCCTCGCTGCCCGCAGAACCTGCCGGCGTGACTCAAGGGGGAAATTTTCACTGCTGCTGCTTAGTTTCGGGGGGTGGGGGGGGCAGCACGATCAAGGAGAACAAACAGTTTTGTTGTTCAGAGTTAGACTGGCTCCTCGGCAATTTCTTAAAGGCGTTATAAAAAACCCAATAAAACGGAAAGAGAAATGTGAGTGACAGCTACGAGAAGAATGACTTGTATTGAAACATGCCTAGAGATACGAACAAGCGTGGTGTATTTTATTCATACAGCGCTACCCGTCATGAGAGAAGCACAAGTGATTTGTTAACTAATAAAGGATTAAATTGAATCAGGTGTGGGTTAAACAGAGCCCGCTGGGAGGGGATATTGGATCAGAGTGTGTGCTTGTGGCACTCGAGGTGTTCTCAGAGAGGGAGCTATCGCCAGCTGAAAGGCTTGGGGCAGCCGGGTGCATTTCTTATACCACCTGGAATCCATTAGGACATGGGCCTTACAACAGAGGCTAAACTCATATTCTCCAAAGCTACTTAAGGGCTCCCTCATGCCTGAGCGATCTTCTGCTCCTAAGGAGGTTTCCTGTAATTTCTGCCTTCCAAAAAAAATTTTCAAAGCAAGGTTGCTTTACACAATGTGGATAGAGATGTGAACTGGCAGGTATATATCTAAGAATGCAGGCCTAACAGAACAAATAGTCTTTCATAGCTCAGTCAAATGTGAATTTTCACATTGTGCTGTGTTGTAGCAGTATGTGGTATTTCTGGTTATGTTCATAGGGTTTAGCTTCAGGTAGTGCAGGTGACTAAGGTGAGTCAGGTCTCCTTAAGCTGTGTAGTTGACAAAGAGCAGTTTCTTCAGAAGCCAGGCCAGAGCAGCAGTTGACCTGAATTTCCCTCAAGAGAAGTATTTTCATACTTAGACAATTTGGAGCTTAAGGAGCCCACCCTTCTATATTTGGCATCTGTCTTTGCTGGTGTGAGTATGGCTTAGCTTTCTTCTTCCCACCTTCTATTTGCATCAAGTCTGTGGTATTACTGTGACTTTTTCTGGGTACTGGCCGCTTACATTCTCTTTCTGTTCCTTTCTGTTCAGATGCTCAGGCTCATGTCAGAAGAGACCTCATATCTGCTGAAAGCCGGCTGAATTCATTTCATTTAATGACAGGAACTGAGTCAAGATAAACAGCTTACACCGGAAGTCCAAAACCGAACATAGGTAAGGAACAAATCTCATTGAATTTTGGGAGAGTAGGTTTTTTTCTCTCTCTGTGGAGACTGAGCATATTGATATCACAAGCAATTAGATCCTCTAAGAAACAGGGGAGAAAGTATCAAGGTAGAATCCCCATCACTTTGAGGAGTGGCTGTGGAGTAGACTTATCCTAGGGAGTAAATTCTGGGAGGGGATGGATGAAATAATCCAGTTGAAAAGCAGTCTAGAACATTTATTCACATAGTGAATTTTACACATAACACCTGAAGAAATGGGTCATGGCTGGATTCAGCAAGGAGAGCAGGGAAGGGACAAGGTTCCAGGAAGAGGTCTCCTTTGGGCTGAACTGCAGCTCTTCTCCTTCCTTTCTCATGCACCCTAGGAAGAGGTGCTAGGCCTTGGTGGCTTCCTCAAACTCTCTTTCTGGAAAAAGAGTAAACCCTAGAGCATCTGGCTTTCCTCTTTCACATTTATTCTTCTCTGAGAAGTGCTGTAGAAGTGTGAGCAATGACCTTCTCCCTGAACTTTTGACCAAGCTGTATAGATGTCCTGTTTCCCATTTTCCTCTGAAAACCGGGAGATTCACACTTGTTTCCCAAGTCCAAGAGCCAAAAACTTTCGTTATCTTCACTGTGGCAAAAGAAACTCTCTTTTTTATCATTTGTCATACACTTAGGTTTTGCTGAAATACTGTATTACCACTTTATTCTCAACGATAATACAATTCTAAAAGGCTGCCAGGAGAAATGACCAGGGCTGTGATGTCGCTTTGTTTTAATCAGACTGGTAAGAGTTACTGATCAGAAACTCTTGACATGTTTGCAGTACTACTTTAGTGCCATCAAATTCCTCTGGTCTGAATATTTGCACCTAGCTAGCTGAATGAATTATAATTGAATGACTGAACTGAAATTATGGCTTAGCAGAGAGATATCCAAGCTAGCTGCAAATGAGTTTGCTTTGGTAGTGCAAGTAATCTCATAGCAAACAAGGCTGCGTGATCTCTACGAGCTTTAAGTGATTCCTAGGGAAGCAGAAATGGATGAGATAATTTCCAGTGTCTGAGTTCAATGAGCTGTCTTAATGTCCTGCCTTCAGGCAGAAATCTTGGAAAATCTGTAGCCTGGCAGTTCTGGCAAGATCTCCACCTGATCTGGAAGCTGGACCTGCCTACACAGATAGGAAATGCGCAGACCCAGGGAGTGGGAGGGATGAAACAGGACCAGTTCTGCTACCAAGGGACTTTAGATAGCTTCAGGGTCAGGTTTTCTCAATTACTGGATGTCTTCAGAGTTTAGAAGGGCCCTGTTAGAAGCCATGTTATCTCTCCAGAGTAAGATTGTGATAGGCTACAGGAGAAGGTCTTCATAACTCAAAATCAAATTTGTCTGGAAAGAACAGTGAACAAAATGGAAGGAGAAAGACTCTCAGTGGTACTTGTGTGACCATTAGATACTGACAAATGACAAGCCATGGGGCTTAGGCGAGAAACTCTTGTACAGATCCATGAACAAGTTATGTATTTTGAGAGCCACTTTCTGCTTTCGACTGTTTAGTTCTTTTTCCTTATGCATGTCTGTGGTTTCATCACTTTGATCTCTTGTCTAAATTTAGCGGAAGTGTGGACAGGATGGACAAAGGGAAGACCTCTGATGAAAAGAGAATTGCGACAGGAAGTGGTGTGGGTGGCCTTGTAGAAGATGTGCTTAGTAGATATGCAGCATCTAGACAAGAAAATGCAATTCACAAAGTCTAAAGTTATTCTCTCATTTACTTAGTCACAGCAGTTAATAATAGTGCTGTATATATTTCTCTTGCCTATACCTGGATTATAGCATAGAATAAAGAAAATGTATATGCCTACTACGAACTGCTCATGTGATCCAAATCTCCAAACCCCTTGCAGTCATGTAGGACTTCTCTCAGAGTCAGACACAGCGGGTCCAACCCTGAAGAGTCAGTAGGATCAAACTCACAGTCAGGCCATTCTTGG